GAACCTGTTCAAAGAAATACAATGTTACTCATTATTCAGTATCCATTCTTCTGCAGCAAAAGTAAATAGATACATACAAAACATATATTGTATTTAATAACCATAATTTTGCTTCATAAAAAAATTCAAAGATTTGGTTCATTGAATACATAGAAAATGTACAGGGACAAAACTAGACGATTGAAAACAATTTACGCTAATCGATACTGGAAGTAGAATGGTATACAACCGTATCCAATGTTCACGGCCGCTACAGTATATGTCTAATAGAACGGGTAAATATTTCATAAGGGAAATTTTTACGTTGGGAGGGCTCACAAAACCGTTTTATTATACTATATTATATAGGTCTGAGGATGGCTGTGTGAACCTGGTATATATTTACATTGTGCTTACCTGTATGACTTCCATGTACCAGTAATATATAACGAGATATACCCGAACAATAAACGGAGCCGACCTGTACTTGGTCTGTGTATGTATCTAAGACTCCATATATATTAGTGCTGAATGTACAAATTTGTTTTATGCGGAATGAATTTATACTTCGAGGAATGAATGCAAGTTGAATAATAGGTTGATTTACAAAGACAGCGAATGATAATTTTATCGACGGTGTAATTCTCTTTGTGCAAGGATCTGTTTTAAACATTTCTCAGGAGAGGAATTCTGCTATAACAAACAATGGTGAAATAGACGTTTTATGGTAACTCATATATCACCTGGAATATACACAGACAGGTATTTTCAGGTAAGAAAGGTGGGATATATTGAGATTGGTAACAATTGACCACATGATATATGAAATAGGTTATTAAATATCCCACACAAGGGTCTGATATTTTATGACACTGTTTTGGTATTAGTGTTATTGATCAAGCTGGCATTTTTCTGTGGAAATTGACGCTGATTTTAATTATTGTCCTATGTGACCTGATAAGGACATTCATAAAATATGCTTATGACAAATATTATCATAAAACTGACAATGGCTGTTGTTAATTAAGTTTACAACATTTGTATTTGACCAAATGATATTAGTGTAAGGACACGTCCTTCATGAAACAAAATACTGTGAACATTTTTCTAGTAAACATTGTTTCTTGTCAACAAGTGCATGTAGTTTGCTTGATGTTAAGTTTCTTCTGTCAACCGCGGTAGAACAACGCAACTTTAACTAGGGATTGTTCATCAGCTTGGTACCCATACTATAAGGATCTACAGGATAATTTGAAAAATACTTCCAGTCATTCACTGTGAGAATGCCAAAATTTGATACTCACACATTCTCATTTGCAGACAAGCCCTCTAGTGTTACATCGAAAGCAACATTTTACTCAAGAATTTCATGTATAAACTATACTTTTTCATCTTTAATGTTGTTCATCGGCTTGGTGCTTACTTACACTGTAAGGATCTACAGAATAATCTGAAAAATAATGCCAGTCGTAAATATAATGACAGAATTTGTTACTCCCATCTTTTACATCTTATTCAAGACTTTCATGTATAATTTCCTTTTACAACCAGTAATATTTCTTTTCTGAATATACACAGTTGTCCTTGTAAATCCCGACAAGACGTGTAGGAAATCAATGAGTAAAGTTGCTACTCTCTGTCGTTTCGATAGTTCGAACGTCCATCTCATATTTGTAATGTGGCTGCAGCATTTTCTGTTCTTATTTGCATATTGTATTTATAGCTTCAAGTTGTCAGTTATTTTAGGATTTGTTGATTTTGGAATAGAAGGCCAACAAGAACATGGCAGGAATTCTGTATTGTGTGCGAATTGTTAGGGAATTGGATTTACAAATATGTCTCAAGGATTGTGGGTAAAAAGGATGGTAGTGACCACAATTGATGAGAAGTTAGACACTGTTGATGGTAGTGACCACAATTGATGAGAAGTTAGACACCATTGATGGTAGTGACCACAGTTGATGAGATGTTAGACACCATTGATGGTACTGACAACAATTGATGAGAAGTTAGCCACCATTGATGGTAGTGACCACAGTTGATGAGATGTTAGACACCATTGATGGTACTGACCACAATTGATGAGAAGTTAGACTCCATTGATGGTAGTGACCACGATTTATGAGAAGTTAGACACCATTTATGGTAGCGACCACAATTGATGAGAAGTTAGACTCCATTGATGGTAGTGACCATAATTGATGAGAAGTTAGACTCCATTGATGGTAGTGACCATAATTGATGAGAAGTTAGACTCCATTGATGGTAGTGACCACAGTTGATGAGAAGTTAGACACCATTGATGGTAGCGACCACAATTGATGAGAAGTTAGACACCATTGATGGTATTGACCACAATTGATGAGAAGTTAGACACCATTGATGGTAGTGACCACGATTGATGAGAAGTTAGACACCATTGATGGTAGTGACCACAGTTGATGAGAAGTTAGACACCATTGATGTTAGTGACCACGTAACAGTTTAGTCACTCAATAATAACCTTAAGTTTGAAAGTTTTTGTGAAAAATTGTTTACCGTTTATTCTGTATACACATAGAGTAGCTTGTGTTTACTCAGAATTGTGTATGTAAACATTATATGGGTGGTCCTCCCGATGTATGTGTTGGTGGTATCAAATATTGGAATATATGGTAAATGTTCATGGATTTTTATTACTACAAACAAAATAATTTCTTCATCAATTAATTGATTTGTATGCCCTTGCATTTTATCAGTGGGAGAGGAAGGGGTGGGGGTGGGGGGGGCATATAGTGTTACCCAAATGCCCCATTATGATTCAATGTTGTGACTTTAATTCTGAACAGATTTTTATCAAAGTTTATACATAGGTAAAGTATGAGAATACCTTGTATAAGTTAGTATTTTAAGGTTGAATTCACTGTTACAAATACTGTTGATAGAAAGTTGTCAAACAATGGCACTAATTTTACAGGGCCAAAGGGGCATTCATTTCTGACAGATGTTCTCTAGTGTTAATTAGAATCCAAATGATTCTATATTCATTCCTCTGCAATGGACAAAGGGTTAAAACACATCTAAAAATGACAGGTGAAAATGTGAAAAAAGCCCTCTTGCATCAGAGTCAAATAATGAATTATACGACAAGGAAATATTTCAGGCCCCATGGGCCTCTTTTAAAAGACATAAGGATCAAACAATGTCTAAATATGGCAGGCGAAAAGTTCAGGCCCAAAGGACCTCTTACCAAGGACCTTTGGGTCAAACAATATCTATGGTAGAACTCTGCTGATATATTCATGTCTCGGTTGCTAAATGAATGAATTGTCAAGCAGAGCTTCTGATGAACTAATTGTTCAAGTAATGAAGATATCATTATAGAACATTTTATAACATGACTGTTTTGGGGGAAAAAAGGAAATGTTAGAGCTCTTTACTACATCTTCACACTATGAAACAAGGAAGTGACATGTATGCTGCATGCAATCTGAATTTATTCCCAGTAAAGGTATTCCCTAACCTTGCTTTTTCTTCTTCTGCCCCCTGCCCACCGCCCCCATTTAATCCTGACATGCTCCTGTCCCCCTCTACCTTCACTTCCTATCCCTGACACTTCCTATCCTATCCCCCCCCCCCCCCCTCCTTTGTGCTTTACCTTACCTGCTGCTAGTCTATTTCCCTTACTCCTGCCTTCTCCTCCCCCAGTCCCCTTGCCCAGGTGCCCTCTTCCGTCCATTCAAGTTTCCTTGCCTTGGCTTGCCTCACCATAGCTCCTGCTCCTATGTTACCCCTAACATTCCTGTTAGCCCTTCTATCCCCAGCTCTTTATATTCTGGTCTCTTACTTTCTACCTTCTACCGCACTCCCTTGCCCGTCTGCTCACCAGTTCTCTTTCCCCGCCCTTGTCACACTGTGTCCATGAAAACCAATTGGAAGGGAATTCCTTAAAAATGATAAAATGTAGATTTAAAAAATATGAGTTTGATGTACAGATCTATTTAGAAAGCACATTTATGTTCTTTTTCATTAAATGTTTCAAAATGGCCACCATTAGAGCTATATAGGTTGCTCGGTCCTGTGTACCGGATCTCCATTTATATTTTATAGTCGTTAGGTTTTATGGCCCTTCGTGCTTACCTTATGGACTTGTACACAAAACTAGATCCTACAAATAAGATGCCATGCTATACTAACAGATCACATTCATGGAAAATTATCATGAATAATTTAAGCAAATCTTACCTACAGCTCAAATACACCTAGGAGTATACCACTTTACCCATTATATACCAAAGGGGGGTCTATAAGTCCTTGAAATTGGGTCATATTTGTTAATCGAAGGAGGGGATTTACAAGTTTAACTTATGTTTTAAAAGATATTTCCTACTAAAACTCTCTATAAAACTTGTTTAACAGAAGATAGAATTAATATTAACATGGGTTATATTATAACAAATGAACTACGGTATCAAGAAGTCAAAAAGTAGGTCAAAAACCAATGCTGCAATCTAGCGGGGAGTCTGAGAGAGATTAATGTACAGTTTATTTACTCAGAGTAGGGTATTTACCTGAATTTTTTATTTTAACATCATACAGATGATGGCATTCTCTGGCCATTAAGTGACCATTCAATGTGTTTATATCTAATGGGAGCTATAGGGCTGACCAAAGGAGCTTGCAGTGATGCTTCTATTTCAGGGTATATAAGGGGGGATATTATGAGAACAACGGAACGTGTGGGGGAAACTGGGGTTGGTCATTGGTAGAAATCACTGCTTCAGGGATTCTCTAGATCTGCTAAGCAGGGATTGATTGCTATGATTAGAATACTTCATATCTACTCAATATCATTTTTAGTTCAGATATGCAAGGTTGTTGTGAGAAATACAGAAAGAAATTTGTGAAAATTGTGTCAGGTTTTTAGGAAAAATACAATGATGACACATTTTCATGATTACATGTATGTCATTAGTTGTTATTAAATGAAAATTAGTTTTTACATTACAATTCATTTTTTTCTTTGGTTTGTGTCTTTACAGAGAAATCCATCCGACTACTTAGCTCGTAAAAAGGCGAAGGAAGAGGAAGAACTAGAGAAAGCCAAACCCAAGCGATCCAAGAGTTCGGTAGACTCGGAGTATGTCGTCAAACGGCGCAGCTGGATAGATCGCAGAAAGGACACCAACGATGCACACTCACAAGAGATCAGATCGAAAAGGCGGTCATTAAATATTGATTCAAAAGCTGATGGTGGACTTTCTCCAAGAAAAACTGCCCCAGATCGACCGCAGAGACTTCCAGTAAAAAGTGATAGTCAAATTCCCGTTTCAGATAGGTCTCGTAAGAACATAAACTGTGAAAGTGTTGAGCCATCTGCCCCCACTAGGAGTCCCCGCAGAGCTGCCTCTCCCACAACAAGTCCAACTCGATCCACAAAAAAGACAAGAGCTCCCCCACCTCCCGTTTCCCCCACTGTTTCATCTGTCCCCACCGAACCAGTTCCTGTCATCTCTCCTCGTAAATCGAAGCAGGAAGCAGTCACAACTGAAAAATCCAAAGAGGAAGTAACAACACAGGAAGTGAACTTGCCCGAAAAATTAAAACAGGAGGTGAACTCTCCTGTCAGAGAAGTTAAAGAAGTCGTGAACACGGAGAAGGAGACACCTTCACGTCCCCCACGTAAAAAGCGTCCATCGTCTTCCACGTCGCCTGATCGTGCTATTAGTGTGCCTTCCGTAGATACGTCCAGCAAATCTTGTGATAAAAAGACCGAAAAATCTGAGGTCCGATTCTCACCTGAACCGAAATTGATTCCAGATGCTCCACTAGTTAACGGTGAAGTTAGCTTTTCTCTAGTATCAGTTGATCCGAAAAGAGACGACTCGACAGAGAATGGACCTTTGACTGTTAATGAAATCGTTAAATCTAGTGACAATCAAAATTTCCACAAGGAGAGCTTGACCAATCAGGTTACGACAATATCAGTGGAATCTGGCAAATCAGAAAAAAGCAGCCAAGCGACCAATCAGAACACTCCTTTCTCAAACGGACATTTACCATCCACAGAAGTTGTTGAAGAACAGATAGTTCAGGTTAAAAAATCAAAATCAGAAAGTGTTCCTCAATTTACATCAATCATCTTTGACGACAATATAGTTGATGAGGAGGTTGAACTAACTTTTAAGAAATTTTCACAGCAACCGCCCGACGTTGTTTCGTTAGCAGAATCGATTCATTCCACACATTCAGGTACAAGTACTGAGTCTTTCGTGCCCAACCTACCCTCGTCCCCGCCACCGTTACTGCCCTTGGGTGGGATTCCTAAAAAGTTAGTGTCTGCAGAATCTGTAGAGGAGGAAGTTATAGAGGTCGTGACCTCACCTGTTGTGGAATATAAACCAATCGCAGAGGAGAAAAGTCTTGAGTGCGAGCCTGTTGAAGAAGAAGTGATAGTAGTGACAAAAGTCACAAAGAAAGAAACATTGCCTGTTAATCAAACAGAGGAAGAAGAATTGATAGAAGTTGCAAATAATATAAAGGAAGAAATATTGCCGGTTGTTCAAAGGGAGGTAACCTCTCCAACTGCGTCTGAACTTAGAGCAGAATTCTTTGGACTAAATAAGAAATCTGGACCTGTGATGTCTGAGGAAATATTTTTTGAGGATGATGTTCCTCAGACGAACGGACATGTTGACCACATGGACGTCTTCATCAGTGACTTAAAAAATGAGGTCAGTTTGAAGGAGGCAGATGATAAGGACGAAGAATCGGACATATCTGAGGCAGACGAACAAGAAAATGGTCATTTTAAGGCTACATTTACTCCAGGTTGGTATTTGTCAATCTTGGAAATATTTAATTGCATGAATTCTAATTGACCCTCCTGTGAAGGTATTAAGCAGGTTAATATATCGGATTAGTTGCTTGTTGGAAAGGTTTGGGTTTTTTTTTTATCAAAAAGCCATTTTATGTAATATATATTCTTAAAGCTACCTAGTATTCAGAGCTGCCTGGTAAGTCCTTCAGCAATTTCAATTTACATACACTCCCTGCAAAAAGTTGATGGGTGTGGGGAGAAAACGAAGGGATATCATACAGTAACAAGGTTGTCGGTCTGTCCCATAAGAGTAATCTTGTCTTGACAACTTATGTTTTCATCCCAGTTTTTCTTTTTTTCTGGAAAATTCACATGTAATCACGACACTGTAAAGTTTTGCACCAACACATATTTTTTTCTGCCTATTTTTATGGGAGTTATGTCCTTTTACAAAAGTCTTAGCCAAATTTTGTCTAGACTATAGCTCTTGCAGTTTTCACCAGAAATTCTCTGATGTTGTGTACCTGTCCTTTCTTTTCTGATATGACTGTTTTGATAAGAGTTATTCCCCTTTTATGGAATTATTACCCAAATCTTGTCCAGATAATTCTACCTTTAACTTTCACCTGAGTTTTGTGAAACGTCAAAACAAATCACTTTATATGGACAATTTTATTAGTTGGGGGGAGGGGGAGAATGGTATTACTTGTGGCCTGTGGCTTACAATTTTAGTTGAAGGAAGATTGTCTCTGCAGTCAACTTTTTCACTATTCAGTCACATTAGCCCAGATTTTGTTTTAGCTTCATTAGCAAAGCTTATCTGTAAAACCCTAGCCCACTGGAAACTTGTTTTTTTTTTTTTTTTTAAATGACATATAATCTGATAACAAAAGCCCACAGTAATAACAAACTTTCTTGAATGTATAGAAACAGAAATTTTCATTTTAAAGCAACTCATGATCAATTACTAGATATGAGCATCTGGTGTGTAATTTTTCTCTATTATATCAAACAAAGCTTTTATTACGACACTCCAAAATAAATACTTTGCCTAAATTAAATTGTTTCAAATCAATTTTTCAACATCTACATTATTTTTTATTTCCTTATCAAAATGTTATTATTACACCCATTTCTGTTGCTAATAAGGTGATGCCAAAATAGGGAGTGTGCCCACTGACGTGGCGTTTGATGACGAGAATGACGGAGGTATCCAACTCGTCTCCTTCAACACCACCGAGAGTTCCATGCTTCAGAGTCCCGGGGAACAGTCACAGACCGACTCCGCCTTCGACGAGTTGATGTCGAGTACAGACCATGACAACAGTAACCAGGTCAGTTTGTGTAACACGCTCGAGGACTTCCAGGAGCAGGAAGAGGAGGTTGTCACGGAAACTGTGGAAGTCCAAGACTTTGTAGAATTTCACAGTCCACCGGTGAAGGAACAGATGCAGGTAGATGAAGTGGTCTTTGTTGAATCGGCTCCGCAACCGTCCAAACCAGAACCAGAGCTAGAAAAGGTTGAACCAGAGCCAGAAAAGGTTGAACCAGAGCCGGAAAAAGTTGAACCAGAGCCGGAAAAGGTTGAACCAGAGCCGGAACCCATTGTAATCGAAACAATGGAGGTTGTCAAAGAGGTCAAGGTTGAATCTGCACCCAAGCCTATTCATAATGAACCAGAGACACCTTTGGTTGATGACGTTGTCACAAATAAGGTCACAGTTGTCTCCCCTCCTGCAACCCCGATGCATGCCTCCTACAACGCTGGACTCCGAGACACATCATCCATTGTCAAGAAGGCACGTAATTTCTCCGACATCATCACAGAGCCGCCCAAGTTCACCGTTAAAGCGAGTACGAAAGAGGTTTCGGAAGAGAGGCTGAAGCAGATGGACATGGAAAGGAAGGCTATTCTACAGCAGAGTATGAAGTCTACCAAGTCGTTGGACGTCACTTACTCAGATGAAGAGGAAACCGTCACAGAAGGTAGGTCAAGTTTTGTATTCTGATAATGTCAGATGAGTGATTTACAAAGGGTAAAAATATGATGAAGTTATGATTGAACCGCCAATATTTGGTTTGAAAGTAAAAAATCATTTTATTAAAAACGCCACAAAAAGATCCATTTTGTGATTTAAGCATGAAAACTGTTTGTGTGATATAGATTTGAAATATACCTCCCTTTATCAATTTGATGTAACGATTAAATACAAATGAAAAATTGTAAGGGGTCAAAACTTTGTCTATATCATGCCCTAGAGGTCCTTACACCAAAATAGTGTGTGGTTTATAAAAGTTTGAGGACATGGAGATACAACTTCAGCTTTGTAGTCACGACGTGCAATATGTTCTTTTTTAAATGAAACTGAAATAATCTGCCCTAGAATGAGAGATGTGCAATACAGAGTGAATTTAGTGTCAGTATTTTGCAGTGAAATAAAAAAACAAATGCAACATGATGTCAGGAAACTTAAGTTATCAAACTTAAGCTATATACAGTACCACGTATATAGCATTTAACAGAGATTAACTTGGAGGCAGTAGTGTTTGATTGAAGGGAGACAACTCTTGTCTATTTACCTGAAAATGAATAATAGCCTTACATTTGGGAAAATTAAACATGAAAAGAGAATGATATATGATTGCTGACAATACGCTGACAGCATGTATAAAAATGAATATAACACCGTCTAAAAGAGTTGTTCTATTACATCCTGACTGATCCATTGAAGATGAAATGTATTGTTTATTCCAACAAGGTAGCTAAGTTTTAGTGTTAAATGAGGAAAAAATAGTTGTAATCGTTCCTTAACGAGGAAAATGTGAGTGTAGTGGGTCGACTTGTATCTCCATCCTACTGTACACACAGCTGATGTGTCCTCGTGACCCATTACATGGCTATAAATACACGGTGAGATACAGGGACGCCAATCAATACTGATACCCAGGTATATCTGACGACATACACCTTGATGTAGCATGTGACCCAGTCTCCATATAACTAGCAATATTATACCACGGTGGAGTAACACTACATATTATACACTGGAATCATTTCACAAGTATCAGTCATTGAATTAAAATTTACCTTTTAAAATTACAGTTAAAAAATATACAGGTATGGTATAACTCGTTTAAGATATTTTGGCAACTTGTCCATGTGCACCAACTGACATGACTTTTCAGTTATGTATACACGCCTATATTTGTATTGGGACATTATATCTATCGAGTTGTTACCAGTCTGTAGTGTATATTGAATACCTGTTATTCAGATTACGTGTCTTCGGATTTTTACCTGTCGTTGTATCAGTAAAATGTGGACATACGAACAAGTCTTATTCAATCGATCAAATGAAGGATAGGCATATGTAAACACTTCAATATGCTTAAACTCATTGCATTGAAATACACATGATCACGATCTCGTTTCCACCTGTTTTCCGGATTTATTCCCGTTTAACAAGGTAAGTGAGAGAATGTTATTAATGGCTGCAGACTTTGTGATATACGGGCCGGTGGACAGCATATCGTCCAGGTGAGTTTGTTTATGGCCTGAATTCATAAATATTTGAGTACAAAATCAGATACAAAATGAATTTCATACAGATTTGGATTCAGTACAGGTAAGTAAACAGGTGTGTTGTGTACAGGTGAAAAACCTATGTAGGTATACACTGCAGCTGTGGACTAGTTCATTAGAAAGGTAAGCTGTAGTGTAGTGTTCTTTATATGTGATCACCTGTCAATAATATTGGACTGATCAGGAGTGTCTGTGTGTGTATACAGGCATGCACTCAATACAGGTGTAAAAAGGTGTGTGCCACAGGTATTTCTGCAGGTATGTTATTAGTGGTCAGTATGTAGAGAAGGAATTGAGAGCAGTTTACCAGCAGACTTATATACATTCTTAGACACCTATAATCACCTGCTCAGAAGTAAGACTTAGTATTAGTCTCGTCAGTATCAACACTGACTGAGTATAAAGGGCTGCTCGTTCTAATTACAGGTGTCTCACTACAGGTAAGAATTACAGGTGATATATACCAGCCATTTTAGCATGTTTTTCAAAATGTCTGACTGTCCATCTAGGCAATATTTCAAAGTCATGTCTTATTTGTCAGATGTAATATTAGATATTAATTATGTTACAGTTTGTGTTATCCTTATACTGGGATGTGGAGTCCTTATATGTACAGTAAATTCAATTTACTTCCATCTGTTTAAATGCTCCAATAACTTCCATATCTACATGGTTTGGGCACTTGGCAAGAATCTTATGGAACCATAGCTGTATGATATGTTATACTTTAATATTGAGAGCAGTGTTCTTAGTATATGTAATATGTCACGCTGTCCTTCCTTTCTGAGGTGGGATACCTCAGCCCTGTCCATAACGGGTGCGGAGAACAAAACTGTTTGTACCTCAGACATGGGTACATCCATATGGGATACAGAGAACAAAACTGTTTGTACCTCAGATGTACCCCAGACATGGGTACATCTATATGGGAAGCAGAGTACAAAAATGTTTGTACCCAAGATGTACCCCAGACATGGGTACATCTATATGGGAAGCAGAGTACAAAACGGTTTGTACCCCAGATGTAACCCAGACATGGGTACATCTATATGGGAAGCAGAGTACAAAACAGTTTGTACCCCACATGTACCCCAGACATGGGTACATCTATATGGGAAGCAGAGTACAAAACGGTTTGTACCCCAGATGTAACCCAGACATGGGTACATCTATATGGGAAGCAGAGTACAAAACAGTTTGTACCCCACATGTACCCCAGACATGGGTACATCTATATGGGAAGCAGAGTACAAAACGGTTTGTACCCCAGATGTACCCCAGACATGGGTACATCTATATGGTAAGCAGAGTACAAAACGGTTTGTACCCCAGATGTAACCCAGACATGGGTACATACATATGGAAAGCAGAGTACAAAGATGTTTGTACCCCAGATGTACCTCAGATGTACCTCAGACATGTGGGCCTACCTCCACAGTGTATATGATTGTGATGCAGGTAGATGTACAGGTGTCATTCTTCCTATGGGTCTGTATTTTCACAGCTCATTTACAGTGCCATTCCATTTGGATCATAATGCTACAGTATAGAAACTGATATCCAACCTAGATATTATTATACTTGTTTTACTCTACTCAAATCAGAATGAGAAACAGCTGCCTGTTGGAACCATACTTACAATGCTGGCTAAGCCAATTGTTGCCCCATGTAAAACTGAATTTAAACTGTATTAAATGGTGAAATGCTAATTTTAACTTTCCAAATGCTTTAAAGCATTAAAAAGCTTGAACTTTTAATTGTTATTTAACATCGCTACGTCTTGTATTTCAAAAAAGTTTGATTTATAAAAGTGAGTAAGTGTGAATAAGTCTTATATCTTGAGGTAGTTTTCTTAAAACCAGGAAATGTAAAAATATCCTGAAACATGAAAAATAATGAGATCTCAAATTGAGACTTTATATACATACAATTTGTCTTTGATGTATATTGTGAAAATAAATAATTAATGAAAGACTGGTTTTCAAACATATAGTAAAAGAAAAAGTGTGATCGTGGGAATTTGCTCTTATTGTCATCCATCTTATGTAAACGCGGCAGTTCTCCGTAACTCAAGGAGCTGTATCGTTAGGTATTAGAAGTAGTATAATTAAGTCTATGAATAATTGATGGGGAGGCTAGGTATTGTTGTGTAAAGATTACCTTTAGTCTCACAAATCAGTCAGGTAGACAATATATAAAAGCTTGTTAAATACAGGTATGTTAAATTCTCCCACAAAGGCTGGGTTCAAGATAACACGCAGGTAATATAAGGTAAATCAGTATTGGCCCCGCCCGTTTCATCTACATTTCCAATTTTATATAAAGAGTTGTCGAGAGTTATCTTTGAACTCCTTCACCCCAGAAATTTCACAATGAACTATTCCAACATTTGAATTAGAAGAGTTCAAATGTGTCTTCAGGGGTGAATTAGTTTAGGATTCCTGTCCAACTGCAGGCAAAAGAACAATAGAATTCCACTGTCCTTTTTTCATATAAACAGTAACCTCCCCTTTATTTAGTTTTGGATATAACTGTGATGAAGTTAAAGCAGAGTGCCTCCATTGACCAGGTAGCTCAGTTGGTTGGAGTGCTGGTGTTTACAAACTGAAGTCTTGGGTTCGAATCCTGGTCTGATCCCATTGTATTTTTACCCTCAAGCTCAAAACACTTTTGTTGATTATACGATTTAGTCCTAGTTGATTATAATATATTTTTTACAAAAGAGTGAACAGTGTCCAGGTTTCTTTTCAGAAATAAGTTATGAGAGCTATATTCATGCCAGAAAATACAGTCTCCTATGTGTAGTTATGGGTTTTGGCAGTGGGACAGGCCTGGGATCCTATAAATGAATATTATATGTAAACTAGGTTTGCTATTTTAGTAACCATGGATTTATGAATTATAATTGTTGTCAGCTATGTGTCAGTTTTTCATTACAATAATTAGTTCATAATTGGAGAAGCTATTTTTACGATCATGTAATTAGATTTCTAGCATCAATCAATAGTTGACTTAGCTGTCTCTTTATTCAAATGTGACTAGAGACATGTATTTCCAAGGTTGAATAATATTAACAAAATTCATTTAACCTGAAAACACATGAGTTTGTGAACTTCAATAATCGATTGAAGAATGATTTTTGAGCTAAGTCATGATTTAATATTGCAATAATGAAGAAGATAAGATGCCACAGGCTGGAGGGATACAATATTTACGGCAGAGAGAAACAATGTGTTCGGTAGGGAAACCGGTACATTTGTTGTACAGTGCGATAATATTTATATATAGACATGTAATATACAGGTCTTGTCAATAACCAAGAACCTGATTTATTCCATGTCATACATATATTGCTAGCTAACTTATTGACTATCAGGTGTTTGTGAACATTCGAACATCCATA